GTAATTGGTTTTCGGGAGTGTAATATGGTTGTAAAAAATGTGGTGACGGTTTTTTTGTTTGAGTGATTCAGCCGCCATATTTCTCGCCAAACGAGCATTTGGGGAGTTCGCCTTGGTGAAATCTAGGGGAATTCTTGGAACGTGATTACACGTCCATTCCTCAATTTCCGTCCCGTGAGACCTAATTTCCGCCCTCCCGAAATTTATTATCTATTTATTGACCCCAAAATCACATTTTTTGAGGGTCTAGAGCGGGTGGCATTTGGGTTCCCGTAAAACGCGTTTTTTCTAGGGAATTTCCTAGGGACATGTCGGGCAAAAATCCCTCCACCCGGGCCTTAACGGAAGACTTCAGCGTTGAACACTGTTTATTAGTTAGTGACATCACTTGTTACTGTTACTAGCCGTGTGAAACACAACTCCAGTAACAGTACCAACCTCTAGTTACCAAATCTAAAATGCACTAGAAATCACTATTACTGGACTTGTACTGTTCCCTGGTGGAACACACCCTCAGCAATATGGTCTAGATCAACGTACTTGGCGCGGTTTTTTCGAAACTCACCACTTTTTCTTTAGAACTAGGAAGGCCGCGCGCTGCTCGCGCGCTAGTTAGGCTACATGAATTAATGCAATTATCTAATAATATTCATAATTATCCGATTCCATTTAAATTATTACGATTTCAGCTGAACTCCACTATTCGCATTTGATATTTGCATTGGATCATGTACTTTTTCTATTGAAACTAATCGTGACCCACTGTGTTCGTGAAATATAAGATAATATCCATTTCTAAAAGTTTCTCTAAGTGTCCGATGTTTTTAAAATTTTGTTTAGTTTTGTCTCGAACTAATACACATATGGTAAGTAACAAATTAGTAAATGATGAATTTTATAATTGAATTTTATAATTGAATTTTATAATTTAACTGTTTTTCATTTATCATTTATTTTCTTCTATGCCAATGAGTGGATGTGTAACGCATTGAATCTTCAATATCTTCGAACAACTGTTTTTTTTTTCACCCTCGTCATTTGTTCAGACCTGTCATTCATCTTTGTATCTCAGAGGCATACATATCGTCTTATACTGATTCTATCATTATGGGTGATTCTCCAAAAGCCATTGCTCTCATACTGAGCCGACCAATGGATCACACGGATCTGCGTTGCAATTAGAAGATCTCACACTGTCATTTGGAGATGCGACACTTCCATCTGCAGACCCCACACCCCCATCCACAGAGAACAATTTCTTCACTGATTATGATCTATTGACGTCATCGGACTACATACAAAGCATTTCTCCTGCTACAATTAAATTAGTGTTAGTTCAATCTTTAATTCTTATTCAATTATCAATTTATCCTTTCCCAGTTTATGCATCCCTGCCAAAGAATCTAATTAGTTTCGCAATTTTTTTAATTGATTTTTTTATTAGAGAAATGATTGGCATCGTTCATCTTGTTAATGAAGCCGAGACTGTTACATGTAAAAATGGTTCGCAAAATGAAGTTTGTACCTTCTATATACATAATAATGATGGTGAGATTGTGCAATGTGTTATGTGGGGTGAGACGATCAACAAATTCCTCGATCAGTTATTGGTGCAACATGTAAGCGAATGTGTCATGTTTTTTCCCTTCGTTAATCAATTTACAATTCATTTTTCTACTTTTCTCTCATCCAATTCATATTTTTGAGAATTTGATATGAAAACTGTTGCTGCAATTTCACCTCATAGGTTATTCTCATATTCATTTAATCTTTTTTTTTCAATTCTATTATTCTGTGATTGCTCTTTAAATTTATGCGTTTCTTTTAATTTCTTTTCGTTTCTTTAAATTTATTCTTTTGTTCACTCTCATTTAGGTTATCCACATTGATGGAGCGTACCCGAAGTACGTCAAGGATCAATATAATTCCGGAACAGCTCCCTATGAATTAATCATCCAATCAAATACAGAAATTACCGTTTTGGAAAAGTTTCAACCCATACAACGTTCTCTATCCACTCCTCCTCAAGTCATTTCCCTGATTGATCTTCCAACATGTAAAAAAATTGTTGGTAAGTTCATTTTTTTCCCTAAAATTCATCAATAACACATAATAATTTCATCACTTTCATCATTATTGTTTTAGCTATCAAGGGATTTGTTAAAACTTCTTGAGCCGTCATCGAAAAACAAATGAACAGTACTGGGAACACTTGCTATTGATCTATCGCTGCGGATAAATATTTTGTTGATGTGAAAATTTCCGATTTTCCCGCTAACTACACTTGCCCATATACAAAAGGCCAACATGTCCAATGTGTGGAACAACTGATAAGACACGGTAAATATGACAATATTTGTATCAAATAATCAGCAATTTTTTCACTCAAAATGATATTTTTTTTTAATTCTAGGGAATTCCTTCTTTTTTGGCATTCAAGGCCCTGGATGCATTTCTCTCGTGGATGAAACGAAGGCAATTCTCAACGATCCCTTATTGTGTAAACCACTGATGATTCTCAATCAATCAACTTCCAATCAGGGTGGAGCTGAATCGTCGCAACCAAAGAAATTGAAGAGGAGCGAATTATTTGCAAAGAGATTCCCTAACAGAGTATGTTTCCTCGTCTTTTTGTCTTTCAATTCCATCCATAAATCGTCTCTGAATGTTCATTTCTTCTTTTCAGGATTAAAATGTGATGACGAGCATCTTTCTTTACTTGATAATTGTAAAGTGATTAATATCTTGTCCTAAATTCATTACTTTTTAAAAAATGTGAATTGCCATTCCATGGAATCTGATTAAATCCCATGAAAAACTGTGAAATAATATTTTATCCATTGTTAAATTCCTTGTAATAAAACATCATGTTTGTTAATGAATTTGTGTTGGATATGTTTTCCTCGGCTCTCACGAATCTCTATTTGTATATGATATAAAAAGAGTAATTATATTTTTTTCTATTTTTATATTATCATGTTACACATTGTGAATTTTACATGTCATTATTCTGATATTTCCGAAAGTCATCATGTAATTGATATTTTTTTAATTACTCCTCACGGGAAAATTTAAATTCATCTATAATTTGAATATTTCCCTTGATTGTCCTTTTCATTTCTTGAGTCAAATCTTCTGAATGGCTGCGGAGAAGAATTAATAATATTTGTTCCTCAAAATGATTCGCATTGATCGTTGTCTTCGCACTCCTCGCTTTCCTTTCCTCCTGAAAATCAGCAATAGTTTTACCTCAGAATAACGTGTAGACATTCCCAATTTTCAATTTTTTTACTTTTTTTTTTTGAAATTTCCCTACGTTTATTATCGAAATTATTTTTTATCAGAAGATAAAAAAAGATTGAGATTTCATTAGATGTTGAATTTATATGAATCATTATTTTAAATCATTTTTCAATTTCAATTATTCACCTATTCATTCTTTTTTGCTTTCTCTTTTCGTTCACCGAGTCATTTTCGTCATGATGGGGTAAATTCTCTTCATTTGGTGTTGATGGGATCAGCAGATTTTCTCTCGGATTCCTTTCGCGATCTATTACCCGCCTCTCGCAAACCAATCTGTTTACTCCATCAGCCAATCGTCTCCAGAACCATATTTCTTCTTCAAAATCATGATCTGAATCAACGATTTGTACTCTGTTAATTATTTCTCTCTCCATTTTGCTTTCTTCACTTGACAGTCCTTCTGAGTCGCTTCGTTGCTTTTTCATGTACACAATGTGCCAATCATCGTTCATTTTTCTTTTTCTCCAGAAAATTTTTTATTTCAATATTTTTTAAAGCAGTTTTCGAATGACATTGTTTCATTTTACTCTGAATAGAATGAATGTGAACGTGTCAGTCATTGACTTTATTCTGACTATATTTCAATGAGTTGCAAGACATCTTTTTGAATAATATTCCCAGTTCTATGTCTCTGTCCACTCATAGTCATTTCATGAATTTTCTTCTTTATATTTTTTTTTATATTTGTTAATAATATAAAAATAATAATGAGGACACTTTTCAGGTTTTAGGTATATTCATTTTATTTGATTGCCAGAATTATTAGGCCAGAATTATCATGCCAGGATTGTCATATGTACATCGAACCGCTCCAAACATTCCGTTTTCGTCGCTTCACATTGCGGCGCTTCAAAATCCTGACTATATCTGCGTAGGAGAATTATACATATTCCGTTCTCGAAATAATATACATTGATGGGCGCCTTCCCATCCTTCGTCTTCCGCTCCTTCTGAAAACCACTAATATTTTTGCCGTTCAATATTAAGTTCATTGGAATTGACTTCATGATGTTCTGTGGTAATGAAATTAATGAACCAATTCATTCTTTTTCATTTCGATCACTTTTATTACCAATAAAATTATCTTTCTCTACACATTTCTGATCCAAATCAAATTCTGAAACTTTAGTAATTTCTACTGGCATAAAATTTCTTTCGGACAAAAATCTAAGGAAGAAAATTCAGTGAAATATTTACTCATCATATGAATTCCTTATCATCATAACTCCTGTTGTTCTATTCACATGTGAGCAGTGCAAATACTAAATAATGACAATTTTCTTTTTGATTCATTGCATTTTCCATCAGTCCCTGTATAATTCTGTAAAAACTGGATTATTTACTATTGAATTCTCTACCTGTTCCCCTCAATAAATTCTTAACGTTGACCACGAACGAACTCTGGACACGTAGCTAACGTATAATTGTCCATGTGTAAAAACATTTCGTCTCAAATCAATCGCAATACGATCAAATGTTTGTCCTTGAGATTTATTAATAGTCATTGCAAACGCCAATTTTAGTGGAAATTGCCGGCGCGTGAATGAAAAAGGATATTCATTTTCGCAAATGAAAATTATTCTGTTGATAAATACAATCGCTGTCTTTTTATCTCCAGTTAATACTTCACATTTCAAAACATTATTTTTCATCTCTAATATCAATAATCTCGTACCATTGGAAAGTCCTTGTTGAATGTTCAAATTTCTAATCAACATGACTATACAAAATTTCCTCAATCGTAATTCATGAGGTGGAAATGATTGGCGCTTCAAAGTATTCAAGGATTCTGGTGATAAGTATTCATTGATTTCTTCATTGTTATTACAGTTGTCCGTACTATCTACGCTGGTATATAATTGTTCTGTGCTGATATCTAGTAAATCAACCACTCGTTGATTGATTTCATCAACATCCTCATTTCTCGCAGATAGAATTGCAACTGTTGCAGCAATTGTATATTTTCTCATTCTCAAAAGTTCTCCATACGTTTCTGTTACAATATCTTCATTGTGGTTTGCTATACATTCTTTTGGGAGTTCTAAGCTATCTTTTCTGTCATTCAAAGTCCCACTCCCCAATTCTATCAAATATTTCGAAAAATCTTTTTCTGTTTCTAAAGCTCTCATATTTCTCCTCAATGTAAATTTCTTGAAAAATTTCCATAGGGAACTATATTTTATTGATAAGCTAACAGTTTCGCTACGTGTTCCTCCTTGAAGTACTGGAAGTAATTGCCGTAAATCACCTCCCATGATCATTATTTTTCCGCCTAATACCATATCATTATTCATTACATCTTTCCGTAATCGATTAATTATATCCAACGCATATTTCGGAGCCATCGGTGCTTCATCCCAAATGATTACATCATTTGAATATAATTCCCTTCCTTTTTTAGAATTCAACTTGATACTCGATGTTGAATCTTGATACAATGCTACTGGCAATCCGAATGTTTTGTGAACCGTTTTTCCTTTCGGTAATAATGTGGCGGCAATACCTGTGAATGCCGTTGTTATTACTTTCTTTCCCTCTCCCACCAACAAATGCCACAGGGTGTCATAAATAAATGTTTTTCCTGATCCACCTGGTCCATCTATGTAAAAGCATGAATCCCGTTGTTGCATGTCGCAATTATTGATATTCGATAATATTTCGTCAACGATGGCTTTTTGTTCTTCATTCAGTTTAGCATATTGTTCTTTCCCTCTTGCTGCTACATCTTCTATATCCAATTCTTCACCCATACTTTCGATTGTTTCAACTACTTCAGGCATATTATAATCTGGTAGACATTTATCCTCATCACTCAATAATTTTTCTATGTCTATCAAGGCCCTATTTTCTGCTGCGGTAGGTCTCATTTTTTTGCAGAAATCGTCCGACATCTGAACTTTGAATTCCTCCCATAATTTCCGCGGATCCGAAGGCTGACAATACATTAAAATGCAAATAAATAAATGTCTCAGAGCTCGTGGCATCATCCACACTTCTCCTTCTTCCATTGCCCTAGTCCATTCATGATCATCTTCAATCAATCCCCTTTCCTTACAGACATCAGTGAAAGTTGAAAATAACTTTCCGTTTACGGTTCGTAAATCATTAAAACTCCGAGAACCTTTGACATTACACAACAGCAAGCGAAGATGAAATAATTCTATTTGTGAAGGACTCACAGAGTACATTCTCCCGATGATTTTAAAATTAGATTGCCTTTTCCTCCAACCTACTACTTCATTACCGACTTTTTTTTTAACGAATGTATAATGTGTAGGAATGTCAGTGTATGAATAATTTCTTGCGCCTGGATCACGAATATTCAATTCAAAATAATCTAATAACATATTTTACGCCATCGGTGCCCGTAATCGCGCGATTCTAACCTCGCTTCGCTCGGTTAAATCGCGGATTCCGGGCGCGATGACATAAAATTTTGTATGAAACGCGTGCGTAATATATTTTTCGACTCGTGGGATTGTAAAACTCGCCTTCGGCTCGTGTTACAAACCCCCCACGAGTCAAAAAATATGTTACGCACGTGTTACATAATATACTATTTTTGTTCTAGTATGTCATCTAAAGTACGTTCTTCTCCGCCGGGATTTATTGTAATGCTTTGTTGATTTGACAGATGTACTGGTAAACGGGTAACCGAATGACTTTTGTCATGTAATTTTTTGCCCAACAGACGCCAACAAGCTTCAACGGGGCCTACGTAACGACTATTTATATATTGCTTAATTTCATCGTGTTCAATTGTATTCTTTCCTGACTCGTCTTCTATCACAACTTCTGCAGCGTCATGCGATTTATGAATATATTTCTAAAAATATTTCACAGCCCTGATATTCGAAACAACTTCCACATTACAGTGGCAATTCAATTTTAGTAAAACTTCTGGACAATATGGTACTACATATCTATTATCTACCACATAACCATTTTGTTTCTCATGATATTCTTCCGTGTCTCTCCTACGATAACAGGGATATCCATCGTCATCCATTGTGGTTTCCTCTTGGAATCCTTTTGGAAAATGTTTGGAACATTTGTTGTCGATCAAACACCAATCGCCGCATGGACCGTGAATCATGTTTTTCATTACAATATTATATAAATCTGGACTTTTATTCTTGTCAGGAATCTCAGCAGAAATAAATTTATCCACTATGGACGGTCGAGTTAATTTATAACCTGTTTTTAAATTAATTAACATATGAACGTGAGGTAATCCCCGTTTTTGGAATTCTATGACATAAACGTAGGCCAAGATTTCTCCAAATATTTTATCAACGATA